CGGATTGTTATTTTTCGCGGATTGTTATTTTTCGCGCAGCATGGAAATGTCACACACTGGCAATTTATTTGTTGAACTTTACCGTTGGAAATATTTAACTTCCATATTTTTCTATTTATGAAATATTTGTTGATAAGCTGATTGAATTACAAATATAAAGTAATAGTCATTATATCTTTTATTTTCGACACATTTATATTTCTTTCCGATTTTGCTGATTCTTATATTTCTTTCTGATTTTGCCGATTCTTGTTTTTCAAAATTTAACACTCGCAACTCCCTGTTTTCTGACATAGGTACCCGAAAATGTTGGAGGAAGATTTTGCAACACGTTGTCCTGTTTGTCGAAATAATTGCAACTGCAAAGCATGTTTACGCATGGAACTTCCAATTAAGGTTTGTTTCTCTCACTCGCTATTTGATATTGCTGCATTCTATTATATGTTTTTTTTATATTTTAATTTATCAAATGAATACCATGATTGTAGGGTCTTTCTGAAATTACGGAGAAGTCAGATCACGTAATTCACAAAGATAAAGAGGTTCCGTACTCTAAATACATTATCAAAGTGCTTCTGTCCTTTGTCGAACAGATCAACACAGAACAAGTGACGGAGCTCGAACTCGAAGCTAAGATTAAAGGTGTTTCTTTACTTATTTATAAGAACTTAACTAAAGGTGTTTGTATTATAGGCATTACATGCAACCCGTAACATAGGTATCGTTATAACTTTAAAGTATGAATGATAAATTTTGTATTTTGGCAGGATTATCAGTTTCAGACATCAAGATTAAGAATGCAGCATGCGATAAGAATGAGCGTATCTATTGGTATGTATTGTGATTTGTGAAGGAATTTTCTGATGCACGTATTTTATCATTTTCTCTGGTTTCAAATGATTCGATTTTTGTCCATATTCATGCAGTGATAATTGCCGAACTTCTATTGCTGATTATCACAGAAGCTGTTCTCTGTGTTCCTATGACTTTTGCATTAGTTGTTGTCGAGAACTTAGAGATGGCCATCTTCAGGGAGGTGAAAAAGGAAGACCAATTAAATTTATGGATTACGGGTTTGACTATTTGCATGGTGGTGGAAAAGTCGAGAGTAAAGATTTAAAGAGTGGCAAAATGAAATCAGAGGATAATGGTGTGGAGTTTTCTCTATCTGATTGGAAGTTGCAGGAAAATGGCGTTATCCCGTGTCCACCGAAAGGTATGGGAGGTTGTGGTAAAGGAATTTTAGAACTGAAGTCCTTATTACAAGATAAACCACTCCAAGAATTGCTTATGGAAGCGAGACAAATATGCAATGAAGATAACGCTGAATGTGTGTCTGAAATTTCTGGTGGGAGATGTACATGTTCCAAGATCTTGTTTCAAGATATATCGAGCCGTAACTCGTGTAAAGCAGCGTCTCGTGAAGATCCCTTCGACAACTCGTTGTACTGCCCGACGGCCGTCGACCTTACGCATGAGGATCAGAAACATTTTCAGTGGCACTGGTCGAAGGGCGAACCCGTAATTGTTAGGGATGTTCTTGAAATGACACTTGGGCTGAGCTGGGAACCCATGGTTATGTATCGTGCCTTTCGTCAGATTAAAAACCTTAAACACGATCAACTTCTTGACGTGACTGCAATAAATTGTCTAGACTGGTGTGAGGTCAGTTTTTTTTCTTTCTTTTTTTCTTTTTTTTGTGCTAATTCTATGAATATCGATTCGTTTTGGTGTATTACTAGTCTAGATTTGCACATGTGTATAGAATTTTATTTTCTTCCGTTTTTGCATATCTATGGAAGTATTCTTAATCTCAAATGGTAAGTTTTTCTTGTTTATTAATTCCTTGTAACTTACACAGGTAGATATCAATATCCACCATTTCTTTAAAGGGTATTCCAAAGGTCGACTTGACAGTAAAGGGTGGCCCGAAATTCTGAAATTGAAAGACTGGCCCCCTTCCACTTTATTCGGGCAGAAATTTCCTCGACATAATGCTGAGTTTCTCAGTTGCTTACCTTTTAAGGAGTACTCGCATCCCGACAACGGATACTTAAATCTTGCTGTTAAATTGCCCAAAGGGTCTTTAAAGCCTGATATGGGCCCGAAAACGTATATAGCATATGGATTTAATGAAGAGCTAGTGCGTGGAGATTCCGTTACAAAGCTTCATTGTGACATGTCTGATGCGGTATATAAGCTCTTTTTTCCATTTTCGCTTACTTGTTTGTTTTTGTTGGTTATAACTTATACAATGAATAGAAGCGAGATTCGCTTACTCTCGTAGTTTCTTTTTCTTTAGGTGAATGTATTGACGCATGTGCAAGCAGTTGGCGTAGAACCTGACAAACAGGGCGCAATTCGAAAGTTGAAAGAGAAACATGCTGAACAGGACAAAAAGGAGATTTCTAAAGTTGTGCAGATGGCAGATTGTGAAAAAAAAGTCATAGATGCCCCTCAAAATGGTTTAGAATTTCACGATGGTGATGCTGAGAGTGGAGCTCTTTGGGACATTTTTAGGAAGCAAGATGTTCCTAAGTTGGAAGAGTACATAAAACGGCACTTTAACGAGTTTAGGCATATTTACGGCAATCTTCTTCCGGAGGTAATTTCAAATATGATATGAAATAATTAATTTTTGTTTATTATATACTATTTGTGAGTGAGCTTGTGGTTTTGCAGGTCATTCATCCAATTCATGACCAAACCATTTACTTGACCGTGGAGCACAAAAGGAGACTTAAGGAAGAATACGGTTGACTTTACTTTCTTTCGTTCTTCTCGTTTAATACTAAAAGTCACTTGAAGTAACGATTTTCATTGACTATTTATTTGCGTATGCTTAGGAATTGAGCCGTGGACATTTGTACAGAGATTAGGTGATGCGGTTTTTATACCAGCAGGTTGCCCTCATCAAGTTCGGAACTTGAAGGTATTTGTAGAGTTTGATTAACTACTTCCTTTCGTCTTTTATTGCAGTTTGTTATAGTAGTTAAGAAGGCCGCAAATTTAAATAGATTTGAGCTCTATTTTTTTTTTTCTTCGTATTTTCTGATGATATAACCTCTAAGAGATGCAAATTAAATAGATTATATTAGAACTTTTCCACCAATTTTTTGTCGAAAAGCTAAACAGCTATATTGACGGGAGAAAATTTTAGTTGTGTAAATTTGCAATGGTGTAAATTTACCAATTTTTTCTTTTATTTTTATTTTTATTTTTTAATGTATTTCAGCACTTTTAAGTTTCGTAAATGCTCATGACTTCTGCTTTTATTAGTTATAGTATAAGGTCAGATATTATTTTTTTGTATATTAATTATTACTTTCATGTGATGCATTCTAATGTAAAAATTGAATCTTTTGAGTTTATTATAAACTGCACCTACGCAAAAGTTGTCGTTTTTGTACTTGTTCTCAAATGTCATAATTTCCTAATAATGATTTTCTTTCATTTTTTTGTATTGTGCAGTCATGCATTAAGGTTGCAGTTGATTTTGTGTCACCTGAAAATGTCGATTCGTGCTTCAAACTTACCGAAGAATTCCGCGTGCTTCCCCATAATCACAGGGCTAAAGAAGACAAGCTAGAGGTTTGACTCTCTTTGACCTTCATGAACCTTGAGCTCTGGTATCTGTTATTTGTTACGTCTATTTTAGTTTTGTTATCAAAGTTTTAGGCATGTCATTAGACGCCTGATATTTTTTCGTGCAATATATTTGATTGTACAATGGGAGAAGAAAAAATGTAAAACAATATCGTTGGTTATCGGTGTTCTGGATATTGGTGTTCATAAAATTGAAAGCTCGATTGAGATTTTCCTCTACTCTTCAAATTTGTGTTCAGATTTTCATCATGACCTTTGAATTTTTGATATTCTTTATTAGGTGAAGAAAATGATAATTCATGCATTGCGTAATGCCGTGAATAAGGTGACAGGTGGGGAGGATGCTCAGAATGATGTACAGATCGTGAATAAAACTCTGCTGACAAACGGGGCTAAAGAAAGGGGGCCAAAAAAGAGGTCAAAAAGGGGGCTAAAACAAGGGCCAAAAAAGGGGGCCTAAATACCGCTGAAACTTGTTAGAAATCTTTCTTTACCATATTACTGATAAAGGTTATCTTTTTTCTTACTTTTATTTTTATTTGGTAATTCTATTCAGATTAATCAGAGAACAGAGTGATCGTAATAAAAAACAAATATATTATGCAGAATTTTATCTTAAAAATCCCGTCTTGATTCATGTGAAGTTGATTTTATGTTGGTGAATTGCAGGCACTCTTAGTTCGACGGAGGACATTTTCGTCATTCTTGCTGAAGCTTTTGTCTTGTGGAGCAAGTCCCTTTTCGGAATAAGTGGTTTTCTAATATGAATGTGGATCACTGTTTCCGTTCGGTACATAAATTATGTTAGACTTGATTGATATTTTGTGTTTCTGATGGAGTATTTGTACTTTGATGATAAATATTGGCTCTATTTCTCGTATATGAAATCTATTTAGTGGTTTTTTTGCAGTGATAATCATATATTTGTCAAACGTGTTCCAAATTAGTTTTATCGGTGCCAATATGCACATATGCATGTGTGTGTGTAGATTGACAAGAGTTAGCTATGTTCTACGTCGAAATACAATCACATTTACCTTGGCTAAACCCTGCCCAGTTAATCTTTTAGTTGTGTTTATTGGATTTCTTTTAGTAGTTTGAAGTTCCCTGGGAAGCGGTGTTCATTGTCATTCCATTTTCTCTAGTGTTCTCAAGTCATTTTTCTCCGTTTCTCTATCTTTGTACGATTGTAGATTCTCTAGTATAAATTCATTTTTCTACTAGTGCACCTTAATACCACTCAGATAATACCCCTGTTGTGTAAGAGACATCACAATCATAGCCCCGCCCCAATCTCTTGGATATCACCCTGGGCGTCTTCGTTGCTTTCGAAACCGGTGGTATGGGGGCAACGACTAAGGCGTAGAGATGGATTCATTAGTCTGGTAGTGAGTTCCATATGAAGAGAGTGGTAGAAGGAATTTTGATGGAGTGACCAACAAAAGTTTGGACTTAGTCCTCATTTTGCTAACTTACTCAATTTAGTACATTTCAATAGGTGCAAGAATTATATGATAAACATAGTTTAGAGAACCAAAGGATGGTTCTGAGAAATTAGGGGAAGACATGGAAGTTAAATATTTATACTAGGCGACAAAATGACATCGTTTTCTACTCTAATCGGTTGGGTTCGGTGATCAATTCGGTGTATTTTTGTGTTCTCCATACACAAACCAATGTTTTTTCCAGTTTTTCTGAAAATTTTGCTGTACATGCGGTTTTTAAGTCGGGACGGTGCATATCGGGTTTTTTGGGTTTTTGGTTCGGGTTTTCGGTATTTTTGCTTACCTTTGAGAAGAGGAGTGAAATGGATGTTGCGATGAGTATGAAGCTTGAAAATGCTACCTTGAAGAATATGTGACTCTTTATTGGGGTAGGTCTTTCATTTTGCTGTTGCACTTTGTAAATTTATTTCTGCATATTCTATTTATTGTGTATCTTTTTGCATTGAGGGAGCAATTGTTTTTCATTTCCCCGTTGTATTTGGCATTATTCTTATTTTCATTTTGCTGTTGTATTTTGAATTTGGCTAATGCATATTCTATTTCATTTTGTTTTACTTCCACGGGAGGAGCATTGCAACATCCACGAATGGTGAAAGACGAATGGTGAAAGGTCTTTGTTTTCGGTGCAAGCTAATTGGGACGAGATGTTCCTTATTTTCAGTTGAATGACACGGTGAAAGAAGTATCAAGAGTAATCACATTCAATTACATGGTGGGAAGCACCTTGCACCTATGACTTATTTGGTCATGGGTTTGACACCATGAGTGGAATTGAGGAACCAATAACTATCCTCCTTTAAAGAAAAGAGTGAATCTCAAGGTTAGTGAACACAATTAATGAAGTTGCAGAAAAAAGAGCATGTTGAACCAGTTTTCTAAATCAACTTCATATAATTCCGTAGTGACTGGGATTATTCCACCATTCGTTCCTCCATTTTTTGGATCACCACTCGAAGAAATCCACCTAAGAGATAGAGGACCGTGGAGAAAATCTTACCACTCAAAGGGGTTTACCTACGAGATACATGACTAGATATTAGAAGTTTCAGTTCACTGAACTAACAATCACATTTGCAGTCAGTGGTGCTGATTTTGTTGGTTGTTGATTGTTAGAGCTGATAAGTTGTTACATCTTATTTTTAGGATTAATTTTTAGAGTGTTTGGATAATGAGCTTATTTTCTATTTCTACTTATTATAAATTCTTAAATAAAAAAGGTGGGGTAGAGATACTTTTTTAAAAAGATCATATTTGTTCTCTAACAACTTATTTAAAAAAAATTAAGATATTTTAAAAAAAAATTACCAAACACTTTGGAAGAGCTTATAAGCTCTAAAACATCTTATAAGCTCATTTTAACATCTTATATGCTTAGCCAAACATCCTCTTATTTTTGTTACGTATATCTTATAGATACTAGATTTTTGGCCAGTGCGATGCACGGGATTGGAGTAAAATTAATACAGAGTAAAGTTCAATTTAAACGACAAAATTGAGATTTCAATTCATTTTGATGTTTTGCTATATGTATTAATGATAAACCCCCATCTATTAACTTTTTTCCCCATATTTATTGATTTTAACTTGATGCAATATGACTTTATATTTATCTTATCTCAATTAAAATAGAAGTTTGACGTATCTCTTCTTTATCATGCATAACAACTCTTAATATACTGTAAATCAATGATGCCATTAAATCTTAAAGAATGACGATGAAATTGAGCTCAAATTTATATAAAGACGTCACCTCCATAAATATAATAAATATAAGGGACTTGATATATGCGGTAACATTTTTAGGAATATGGGTTTATTATAATTCACTCTCTACCTATCTTTTTCTCTCTAGAAAAAAACCCTCTCAAGCTTTTATATAAGAAATCGTCCTGAAACCCATCTTATTGTAGCGATTAACAAAGGAAAATGAGTGCATCGGATGAGGATCGAGATACACAATCCAATGAGGTAAAATTTGTTCATTTTTGTTCTATAAATCGAGAAAACGTGACTCACGACCTACACCGAAAATGATTTTTACGCCCAAACTGGATGCAAAAAAAACTGATTCACGCCCAAAGTGGGCGCCTAGTCGGCCTTTCCGTGCCCGGTTTGGGCTCCAACACTGTTTTTTCGCGCCCCGTTTGGCGCCAACCACTTTTGCAGTTTTAACGTGATTTTGTTTCGCACTTCTTTCAGGAAGAGCAACAAACTTCTTTTATGTTAGAAGTTGATCATATTGAGCATTTTATAGTAATGGAACTATGTAACTCCAGAGATGGGTTGATCGAATTTGACGATGCATTGGTGGGGTAGACGTCGAGCGTGGGGCATTCTAAACAGTAGTTGATGTATTTTCTTTCTATGTAGTTCCTTGTATTGTTTGATGTTTATTCCCATTCTAAACAGTAGTTGATGTATTTTTTTTACGTAGTTATGTGTTATTTGATGTTTCATGTAATATATTTGTTTGATGTTTACATAAAATAACAATAAAAAAACAAAAAAATAAGTAGTAATCCTGCCATAATAATAAAAAAAAATATAAGAATAAATAGTAGTCTGCCAATAATAAAAGAAACCCTAAAATTACGTAGTAGTGTACTGATAATACAAATTAATTAACTAATGAATGAAATAAAAATAAAAGATTGTAATTAACTAAATCATTAAAAAAAATAAAAATAGGTACTCAATCGGACGACCGGTCTAGACACCGGTCAGGGTTGGCACGCTTGGACTGGGCTTGCAAACCCCTGACCCGCGCCTAGACCGGGCACCCAAACCTCCGGTCCATGGTTAAACAAGGGGTCACACTCGTTTTGGGCGTGGAAATCGAGCGGCATCAGCAAAATAAACCCAAATAACGTGATTTCTTGGGGGTTTTCACATGATTAACACCAAATTAACCACAAATTAAACCCATATAAGTAATTTATATGAGAAATTACCTTTAATTTAGAGAGATTTGTGGATTTGGGAGGATTTGTGAGAATTGTTGTGGCGTTTTTTGAATTTTTGGGCTTTTGGGGGTTTTGGTGGTTTTAGATAGAGAAAGTAAAAAGCTCGAACTCGGGGTGGTAAACGAGCCGAGCCGACTCGTGAGCTCGACGAGCCGGCTCGTAAAAAGCTCGAACTCGGACTCGAGGTTTTCGAGCTCGAGCTCGAGCTTTCTGACGAGCCGAGCTCGAGCCGGATTTTAGTTGTTCATCAGCTCGCGAGCCGGATTTATTATTATTTTTTTATTATTTTTTATTTTTTATATGTTATTTTTATTTAAATAATGTATAATAATATAAAATATTATAGAAATAAATAAAAATATTAAAAAAATATATAATCACAAAATAGTTTTTATTTTGTATTTTTTTTAAAATAATTTTTAATATTAAAATAATAATTAAAAAAAAAAAAGAAAAAAAAAAAGAGATTGGGCTCGAGCTCGAGCTCGAGCCAAAAAAAGAAGAACTTGACGAGCTCGAGCTCGAGCTCGAGCTCGACAAAATAGACTGGAGCTCGAGCTCGAGCCAGCCAAAAGAGGTGAGCTCGGCTCGTTAACACCCCTATATACTTCCCTGTTCATTCTTTATTTTCCAACTCAAAATATAATCATGAGTGGCAAGTTAATTATATAGTTGAAGCTATGTGGATTTTTTTCTTCTATTCGTGATATAATTTTTGCAAGAACGGAAACAGAGCTCTGTAAAATGGGAGACGAGAATCAAACAAAAATTAGATTGTCGGACAGATGAATCAGATGAATCAAACAAAAATTAAATGAAAGGGTTAAGGGAAAGGAAATGGAGAAAATGGTCAACAGATGAATCAGATTATTATATGAGGGAGGTGCATTTCACATTCAACAATCATTTGATAGAATCGAAACCATCACACCTTTTTTATTTCCACCCATTGCAAAAGTTAAAATTATGTAAACTTAATTACCTTTTACGATACAAGAATGGCCTCACGAATAAATCAAGAAAATATCCAAACCATAAGTTTCAATGATCAACCAAAAAGAAAAGACAAAAGTTTACCAAAACAGGAAAATATCAAATCATAAAGAGTTTTATGAAAGCCTTGAAATTTTGCCACACTTGCCGAATACGAATGTTCATCTTCATTTGAATAGTTGAGGCCTTTCAATCGCCGAGCAACACACGATTAGTCATTTGGAGTTTATTATAATTCTGTACACACAGATAAAAAAAAAATCAATCAAAACCTCTCTTCAACGTTTTCAAGGATCAAGCTTACCAAAATTCACAGACAAAAAGCAAAATTCACCGTGCAAAAATAATTATAGGATGAAAGATACAATATTATATAGTTTAATGTTTTTCTTATTTCATGTAAAGATAAAAATAAGAAGTGTTGTTATATTTGGTAACAAGTAAAGATAAAAA